CTATTTATTAATACTTTTCACATAAACTCACATAACAACACATTATGTATCTTTTATTAATGTTTGACATAAATAAATTTGTTGATCGTCATTTGTCTTAGAGTTCCGTGTACCAAGGGACATAATCCAAGATGGCGATCTCTCAGAATCGTCGATCTTTTCCTGAAAAAAACTTGAAATTTTCTATACCTGTGTATTTTACGCACCCCCCCCCACACTTTGGGTATTAAATTTCTGAAAAAAAAGTGTGCAAATTACATGGGTTTTTACGGTACTGATACAGAAGTTGATGTAGTGTGATAGGTCTAGATCTATAGCGGAAGTGTACTGATACAGAAGTGGATGTAGCTAGTGTGATAGGTCTATAGCGGAAGTGTACTGATACAGAAGTGTATGTAGTGTGAAAGGTCTATAGCGGAAGTGTACTGATACAGAAGTGGATGTAGTGTGAAAGGTCTATAGCGGAAGTGTACTGATACAGCAGTGGATGTAGGGTGATAGGTCTATAGCAGAGGTGTACTGATACAGAAGTGGATGTAGTGTGATAGGTCTATAGCGGTGGTGTACTGATACAGAAGTTGATGTAGCTAGTGTGATAGGTCTATAGCGGAAGTGTACTGATACAGAAGTGGATGTAGTGTGATGGGTCTATAGTGGAAGTGTACTGATAAAGAAGTGGATGTAGTGTTATAAGTCTATAGCGGAGGTGTACTGATACAGAAATGGATGTAGTGTGATAGGTCTATAGCGAAAGTGTACTGATACAGAAGTTGATGTAGTGTGATAGGTCTATATCTATAGCGGAAGTGTAATGATAAAGAAGTGTATGTAGTGTGATAGGTCTATAGCGGAAGTGTACTGATACAGAAGTGGATGTAGGTTGATAGGTCTATAGCAGAGGTGTACTGATACAGAAGTGGATGTAGTGTGATGGGTCTGTAGCGGAAATGTACTGTACAGAAGTGGATGTAGTGCGATAGGTCTATAGCGGATGTGTACTGATACAGAAGTGGATGCAGTGTGATAGGTCTATAGCGGAAGTGTACTGATACAGAAGTGGATGTAGTGTGATACGTCTAGATCTATAGCGGAAGTGTACTGATACAGAAGTGGATGTAGTGTGATAGGTCTATAGTGGAAGTGTACTGATACAGAAGTGGATGTAGTGTGATGGGTCTATAGCGGAAGTGTACTGATACAGAAGTGTATTTAGTGTGATAGGTCTATAGCGGAAGTGTACTGATACAGAGGTGGACGTAGTGTGAAAGGTCTATAGCGGAGGTGTACCGATACAGAAGTGAACGTAGTGTGATAGGTCTATAGCGGAGGTGTACTGATACAGAAGTGGACGTAGTGTGATAGGTCTATAGCGGAAGTGTACTGATACAGAAATGGATGTAGTGTGATAGGTCTATAGCGGAAGTGTACTGATACAGAAGTGGACGTAGTGTGATAGGTCTATGGCGGAAGTGTACTGATACAGAAGTGGACATAGTGTGATAGGTCTATAGCGGTGGTGTACTGATACAGAAGTGGACGTAGTGTGATAGGTCTATTGTGGAAGTGTACTGATACAGAAGTGTATGTAGTGTGATAGGTCTATAGTGGAAGTGTACTGATACAAATGAGGATGTAGTGTGATAGGTCTATAGTGGAAGTGTACTGATACAGAAGTGGACGTAGTGTGATAGGTCTATATCTATAGCGGAAGTGTAATGATAAAGAAGTGTATGTAGTGTGATAGGTCTATAGTGGAAGTGTACTGATACAGAAGTGGATGTAGTGTGATACAATGTAGTTGTGTATCACACCACAGTATCATCCTATGACAAACACAACATCGCCTATCCCAGGAGAGAGTGTCACAATTTTATGATTAAAATTTGGGAGTGTAATCATTGGAGAAACATGTGGGCTAAAGTCATAATGTCGATATAAATGATATCTATCAATGATCCCTTGTCCTATAAGTATAATGCTCCTGTGGGGTTCATGTATGAACAATTGTTTGAATTATACAAAACCAAACTGAACTATCAAGTAACAGTCATTGTTTGTACCACATTGAGCTGAGTTTTTTTAATACATTGATGACAAGCCATAAGCATGAAAAACAATCCAACAATTTCTTATACAAGAAAAGGTTTAAATATTTGCAAAATAAAAATGTGAAAACAATGTCCTGACAAATACATTGTATCATTTAAGTTTTATAAATTATATTCCTTGACTAGGAAATAGTATAAACACAAAGGTGTTCCGCATAGGTAATAATTCGTAATAAACAAATCATTTTGAAATTTTATGATGTAAAAGATTGTAAGGATAGCAGCATCATTTAAAGTGTAAATGTGCATATATAAAAGCCAGTAACGATTATATTGTTTTAAAAATATTTTTCTACATATATATTAAGTTTAAAGATGTATATGGTATTGCTCCATGCAAATTTTCTATTTGTTTACATCTGTCAGGGACTAACGATCTCAAAGATATCAGTTAGAAGATATGTTATTTCTTCAACTTTCTATAAATATAGAAACAAATAAGCTAGTGGTATACAAATGATAAACATTTTATTACACAATATTTTCAGTGTTTGTCGTTCAAACAATTTTTTCATCACTCGCACCTGGATAAAATCTTACCTGTAAGACATCCTTTTCAAAAATAGCAAACTTTACAGTCTTGATATTGGTCTTTCTGTTGCTGCCATATTTGTTGACAGTGTCACACATGGTTTTAGCTACAAGATGCTGGGGGTACATCAATTTCCCTGTACCAAGTACAGGGAAAGCTATGCTCTGCATCTTCATTTTATCTGCTTCCATCAGACACTTTGTGATCAGCAACTCCAGAACCTAAATGAGAAATGAAAATGATGTTTTACATAAAAGATATCTTTATGCCCCTATTGTAAGATCCTAATTAGTCTTATGACATTTTGACCTTTTCTGTTCTCTTTTTACCTGTTCTGACTCAATGTATTGTACTGATAATTATGTCACAAAAAATATGTATCATGTGATGACTTTTGTTCAAAACTTAATACTACTGTATTTGATATTGTTTTGTATACTTATAATCTACAGACTAGAAAAGTGACGTAAAAAAATAAAATTCTAGCAGCCATCTTTTCCTTCTGATCCAGTTAAAATGAAACATAACAAAGCAAGTTATTGCAAAGCAATCCAGTCTCCCATCGGTAATGATTTCTTTATTTACCAAGCTGTACACCTATATCAGGATACAGTTCACAGTGTCACCACCTGTCTTCTGCACTCCGCAAGCTAAGACATACTTGCATACCAGATCTGGTTATAAGTTCCTGGTGAAATAGTATAGAAGATATGCCCCAGACAAACTTTTTCAAAGGATAAGGTCAAAGGTCAAACCGTGGGTCGCAGTAACCTACTTTTTGTATGTGATACTCAACCATCTTAAGATGTACTTGCACAACAAATATCGTTACTTCAGGTGAAATAATACAGAAACTATCCCCGGACAGTCTTTTTTCAGAGGTTGTGGTCAAAGGTCAAACCATAGGTCACAGTGACCTACTTTTTGTACTTTATACTCTGCCATCCAAAGATACACTTGCATACCAAATATGGTTACTCCAGGTAAAATAGTAAAGAAGATATGCCCTGAACATTTTTTTAACGGCAGACAGAATTCGGAGGGATGTAAAGAGGGACAAACAGATGAAGTACAGACCCATGGTTCCCCCTGGAACCACTGGGTGTCTAAAAATCTGGGGAACAGGACACACCTCAGACTGAAAGTTTTGGCAGACCTCTCACTAAGAAACTGATAACAACCTTTAACTGTCAAATTCCCTTGCAACCAACTTGGTCTTTGGTCTCAAAACTGAACATGCACAACTATAAGGACAAAAGACAACCTGTGGAAATTAGGCCCTTAGGGCCTGTATGGCTTACCTGGATATTTAAGTAGTTATGACGCGATGGTCTCATTAAAAGCAATACTGCAAACCACCACACTACTAGCTCAATTTACTTAGTGAAAACCATGGTGATTGTTCAATGGGAAATGACTCGCACATGTGTGCATTGCAAGTTCCTGTAGCACATATATATAGAGGACATTTTATGGTGTCTTCAGTAATAACAAATATATTTCACAGGTGTGGCTAATATTTTGATATTTTTCACGAGTGGGCAGCACGAGTGAAACATTTCAGCACTGAACTGCTTTCAGTGCCTATGAATGCCAACTGCATGGACAAAGGCAAATTCCATGAAGCGCGCTATATATATAATGCTTATATATATTTACCATTTTCAATTTCCATTTGGTTGTGCGATTTTTTTTAATGTCCAAATTCAAATTTACCGCACTTACTGATTGCGAAAGCTCAATTCCTGGAACAGCCCAACAGCCAGAACCATTTTGAGGGATCAAAAAATAGTGCGTGGAAGAATTCAATAAAAAATATAAAAATGATATGCTCAGTACAAATATTTCATCAGTTTTTCAAATCTTACATGTTCAATAACATCTGCCATATTCATTCCAATCAGTGTTCATTTGTACAAATTAGCCCATTTTACGATCTGCGGAAGCCTATAAGTTACAGCAGTAATACGGTAACACCACGCTTCATCGCCACGCTTCGTCTAGGAATGTTCAACTGTTGAAGTTAAATACACAGTCTTTGAAAGAGGAATTTGCAAAGAACCCTGCAGGCGTAGACATAATATTGCTGGTTGAATTAACATTTACCTGACTGTTTGAAGACAGGGAAACTGGTATGATGTCGGACGCCTGCGAGGATTCGGTAGACTGACCAGAGTGAGGGATCGCCATTTTGAATTCTACGGGACGCGGTGGCGGGATAGTTCCCCTTGTCATGGCAGATAGAGACGTGCTAAGGGCTTTCTTTTGATTTGAAGACACAAAACAGTTATAGGAGCGAAGTGACGACTCACAACGATGGTCTGACATGTACATAATGTGCCTCGCTTCAAACCCTGTGTCATTTACACTGAGAAACACTTAAGGACGAAAAAATCAATTCTACGACTTAATCTACCTTATTATACCAGTAAACTTCAATTAGCATTGAATTTTACAAAACACAATCTAAATCATAAATTCATGACCCAACTTAATGACGTACCAGCTAAATAATCTATGCATGGCTAACTTAATGATGTACAATCTAAATCATATTTGCATGGCCCAAATTACGGAAACACTCTCCAAATTAGCGGAGCACCATTTAAATTTAAAAACCATATCCAAGTTGTCGGGACATGGACCAGTTTTCAGGAACAACAACCAATTTTCAGGGACAACAACCAATTTTCAGGAACATAACAATTCAATAAGATTGTGCCTTTGTTCCCGAAAACTGGTCGTTGGCCCCCGAAAATTAAGTCGTTGTCCCGCTCACTCGCACAGCGGTATTCCCTTTGATGTAGCCGCGCTCCGGCGAAGCCCGTACAGGTGAGGCAGTCTATAGTCCCTGCCTTGCTGGCCGTGTTCTCGGTATAGCTATGTAACGACGGTTGCTCTAATTCCGTAATCAAAACGATATAATAACACAGGTCGATAGTACACTTATATTTACTTCGAATGAAATAAATAAAGACCAAGGAAATAATGCTTATTTTGTACTACGGCCAGGGTTAGGATCGAAATGAACGACCATTTGAGAATAATGCATAACTTTTACCGTATTGCTGAACTGGTGCTTTGATACATCACTCCAGGGACACATGAAGCCAGTATATACGTCTCTGATCACTCATATAATAATCAAAGACACAATATGAACTCTCAATATTAACGATATTTAATGACGAACGATAAGTACGTCCCGATGTCGTATACAACTTATATTACGTAAACTATATCCCCCGGCTCCGTTCGGTCCGAGGTACTAGTTGTCCAGTATTTATTGATAAACTCGTGCAAATGATGAACCGATTGTGTAAATGTTCATAAACGAACCACTGTATATATATATATATGTTAAGACAGTTTACGTTCCTATTTTGCTTCATATACCTTTCAATCGTTTTTTATGTTGTTAATAGTTTTGTGATTTATATAATCCTCTTAGTAAGGAGATTCCCGATCACCTGTCCTCTCAGCTTTTAATTTCTATTGTATTTAACATAAATGTATTTTATTCATATTTTGGTGTTTTTTTAATCATTACTGATATAATTTCAATTAAATGGAACTTTATCTTTCCTGTACTGTCGTAAGAATATCCCTTCTGATTTAATGTTTCATGTTATAATATTTAAGGTTGAACTTTCTATTTAGTTTAGGTTATCGGGTGATAAAGAAAAAATAATTTACCCGGGTTCCATTGTAGTTATCACCCGATAACCTAAATTGAATAGAAAGTTAATCCTTATATTTATAGCCTTTTTCTTTACATAAAACGCGTCCATTTATGTCATCAAAGTAAACGTATGTAAATGAACACACAATCCAGCCGTCCTGTCAGTCAACAACGTGACGTCATCGGAATGTATGAATTTCAACAATGTATGTTTACATTTCAACAATGTATCTTTTGCATGAATACACTAATGAGTTACACATCTGGTATCCGAGGTACTCCTGTTAACTTCCTAAAACAGCAATGTAAGCTCCCGGGTTGTTGAAACTTCGAGTGATAATGACAATGATCTCCACAAAGGCTTTCATTAGAAAAAATACCATTTAAGTTACGTACACTTATGTGTTTAAAGTGAACGAAATTTTCGAAATATCTTGTTTCTTTATTCATTTAAAGCGAACTTAACCATTTCAGAAAGATAATGTGCATCCGTATGTCAGTTATCAAAACTGTATAAAGTAAAGAGAGAAAAAAAATAGAGCATTATTCTTAACCAGAGACGTTATATTACAATATATACGACTTTGGTGTATAGTCTAAACAGTTGCTCTCGTCTAACGAACCTGTGATTACTAAAATTTAGAACCTATGAAACTTCTTATATAAAAGGCTAAGCGTGATCCGGTTGTTAAATATATGAATTATCAGAATTAATATTGAATATTGTATTACCTGTCTTCAGACAGAGACATATAAAGCCGTAAGTAGTATATACGTTTCCGCTTCAGGTCAACCATGACAATCAGAATAATATATAAACTAAAGGTATTTTGTTTTGGTTTCCTTTCTATCATAACCAGATACCTTCTCTGTATTAACGTAATATATTAGGTATCAGTACATTTCACTCATAGTTCCAGTAGTATTAGTAATCATTATCAAATACATATATAGATAAAATATATTGCCGTGTGAATGATGTAATTGATATACAATATGTGTTAAGATAAGTTCTGTGCACTGATCTTACACGAAAATGGCACCGTTTCATTGGTTGATATACCTGTCAATCACGCGCGGTAGAGAGGTGGGCCCTCGCGATGATTGGTTGATGTTCTTGTCGATGCTCCGCTGTTGTTTGATTGACAAGAATATCACGGGCCGTAATTCTCGTCACATTCTGGTGCATGTACTCGCAGTGACATTTGGTATTTCTTTTTCTGTTTCCTGTTGTACAATATATTTAAACTTGAAAGTGACATTCGTTCTGAATTCTTTTTTAATTGGTGCAAGCATCCCATGCATACAATTTTATTATGAGAAAGTAGGTTTACTTTGTTTGTAATGTATAATCGTGCACAGAAACCTTACATGTGGATGTACATTGTATTGGACATGTATGTTGAAATTGTAGGTGTATAAATATAGCTGTTGGTCTGTATGAACTTTCTAACTAAGCATTGAAGGATAATTAAATGTAATCACTACTTGTAAGCGTCAAGGAAAAATCATTAAACTAAGGAACTGTGACAATGTATT